TTCATCCAGCCCCCACTGATGAAAGTGTCTTCAGGCAGGCACTGCTCCATCGCACAGGATACAACACGTCATCATTCTGAGAGGATTGTGTTGGATTACCCTTTTTGACATTTTTCATGCAAAACTGCTTAGCAAAGTTGGAAAGAAAAATAAATCAATGACGAAGACAGGTCAATCCGGAATATTTGAGATGGTTCATAATGTTTTTGCTGGACTACGTAAATAAATTACAAATAGATGAACATTGCCATATGACAGAGGTGTACCATATTGATACCACATCACAACTACAGTTATTACTTCACATCACGTTATGAAAACTCAAATAATTGCATACACTTACACATTGTATTTCAAGGTATTGTTCTCTTATAAAGAAAGAACAGCAACCACATTTTGTCATGAAAAAAAAAGATTATTGTAAGACAAAAACTGTTTGGATAGAACTATGGCCATAATTTTGTTTTATGACTTAAGAGATAAACTATTTTTTGTAACGAGTCCCACCTGCTGCTTAAAATTATGTGAGTGCAAACTCTTCCCATATTTTTTACTGTCATCTGTCAGATGACGTTAAGTCTTTCATGGAATGTGACTTCAAGACTGTTCCTTAAATATAGACATATTTACTATCCACAAAGAAAACCTGAGTTAAAAGTCCACGAAAACCAGTTCTGCAGCCACCAAAAAGTTTACATTTCAATTTTTGCATTTAGCAGGTACTATCATCCAAAGCGACTTCCAGAGAATCCAGAGAGCAATTAACAATAACAGATTCTGACTCATCCTGATAACATTACAGTAGTAGAAGACAGTAGAATATAGGGAAAAGGCCTGACCCTTTTATTGAAAAAAGATATTGGCAACAAATAAAATAAAATTGTCATGGGTAACGTTGGAATGGTCTCATCTTTTTTATTTTAAATGTGGCATAGCGGCACAAAGTAAATAATGTGCTGATTTATGTTATTTCTTTATTATTATTTGCTTCTCTTACGCCTATTTTCAGAGGGATTATATACTACTGCAACAAAAAAAAAAAACATGCAAGAAGAAAATCCTTCATATTTGCCCATGTCCAATCCTCAGTTACTGTAAAACAGTGCCAGATGCAGCTCTGAAGAATTCCCATATGTATTAGCTTTATTTTTGTACCAGGATGGTGCATAATTGCAGAGAAATACTCGGTTCAATTTGGCATGAATGTGTAAGTGGATTATGATTGTCTATGGTAATTATTGGATGTGATTGAGCCAAGGATTAAATAAAGTCTTGTACCCTTTTTGAGCAAAACTCCCACCTTTATATCTCCCCACACCACCCCCCATTCCTTAGTGTTTATCATTTCAATTTCAGGTGTGATAAAACCATGGGCATCATCTTGGTCCTCAACAGTCAGATGAGTTGAATAAAGAGCTAAGATAAAAGCTCCTGTGCTCAAACAGTAAAAAGAAAAAGTGGATTTCGGCCCAGCACTGCATGACCTTAATCTGCAGGATTAGGCCATCATGAAGTTCACTCCAGTGTGTTTGCCTCGGTGTATATGCATGTGCATTTTGTGTGTGTACTTTATCGTCACTATATTTTTTTGCAAGGCAGAAAAATGGCGGTGTTGCCTTTGCTTGCACATTTATACATTCCAGCAATCCGAATTTGACTGCCCTGATATCCGAGGCCACATGTGTAGCAGCAGGAGGCTGGTGAGGAGGGAGGTGCCCATGGGTTAAGAGCTAAAGCCGCTTGGCCCAGATGAAGATGGCTCTCAGGCTTTCTGCCAATCAAAGCCCAGCCAACGGCCCCTTTTCACTGCTAGGGGACGAAAGGGGTGAGCAAGGCAACATGTACTACTGATGTTTGTGCCACCAACGACAATGTCCTGTGTAACATGTATGACATAGCAGAGCATTACAGAGGAGAAGACAGAGCTAAAGTTTAATCAAACTGCCGTCACCAATATTTTTGTCCATCCATCCATTTTCAAGTGGACTGGTGCCTATTCTTGAACAGGTTGTTAGTTCATCATAGGGCCACAACTTGGCCCGTCTTGATTTTTTTTCCACTTCCATTGCAAAATGGAATTGCATTGGTCACCTTCTACCAGTTACAATTTCATCACCTCCTTGTTTTAAAATGAGCTAGGTCGAGCAAACCTATTGGCTAGAGTCACCTGACAGCAAGAGTCACAAGAAAGACTCAAAAATACGCACCATCTATGTGCATTTTCATTATTTCTCTGATTATTTCCGGGGTAAATGGCTCCACTTAAAGTAACACTGCGTAATTGGACTGTCACTTGTATTGGAAAACAATTTAAACCAAGTCGATAGTGAAGTCCAGACTAAGTATAGGTGAAACAGAGACACTTGAGACAAACAACCATACACGTGCCCATTCGCATCTAGGGCCAATTTAGTCTCACTAATTTACTCAAATAAAGAGTTTTAGGGCTGTAGGAGGAAGCCAGAGAACTTGGAGAAAACCACACAGAGAAGCCCCGGCTAGGATAAGAACCTATGGGAAAGATTTAACAGTGCAAACAATGACACAACCATGCAGCCCCAATTTTCATTTTTGTTTTGTGTGAGCAAACATCAATTTTAAATTACTCATAAGTTTAAACCCACAATAATGATTTTCTACCCTCATCATACCAAGCCTTTTGTGTTCATCACTGCTTTTTTTACCGTCCACAGCTTCTGTCAGATTATTCTCAGCCACAGAAGGCATACAGCTGTTGTAAGGACTTAATCTTGCAGTGCACTGTGCAGTACCTGCCCAACAGCAAATGACAGACAGAAACAGAATCCAGATGGGGAACATAGTGGAGCATTTACTGTAACAGCAAATTGTAATGAGGTCAATGCATTCCAAATCAAAGGTAGGACTGCTGATTAGATGTCACTCCACTTTGAGGATTTGGATATTAATCTTTAAATCTTTAAAGTAACTCGGTCTCTTCTGTTGATTTCCCCTCTCATGCACAACTGCTCAGGTAGGTTGGCCTTGTCGTGCCAGTACTCACTCTAAGTAATGATGTCATAGCATCTTACATTACACTAACATGGTCAATTAAATGGCAAAAGCCCTTAGAATCTGGGTTACTCTTTAAGATCCATCTGAAATGCCTTATTGGTGTATTTAATCAATTTTCACACCTTTTTAATTCAGGGACGGTTGACTGTCCTGCTGTGAGTTACAGGTGCTAACAATCCCTACGATGTGCAGTCTTTAATCCTCCATTCTAAATGCCCATTCCTTTGTAACTGCTGAGCTACTGTGCATCACCTATGTTGGTATTTTATTTTTGATTTAGGTGAAAACTTTGTATGTGCCTAAAAAATGAAAATACCAAATGAAAAAAAAAAAAGAAAACGATTATAAAGGTCTCAGTCTTTCCAAAATCTTTTTTCGATGAGTAATGTCTTGTTCTCTTCATGCTTCCATTTGCATGCTTTTTGCATAGTAATTAAAGTGGAGATAAAAGGACGCACGTTTAATGTGCCATCGGCCTCTTAGTGAGCTTTGGTGGGGTAGCTGTTTTCTACCAGGGAGGATAAAGTGTATTTGAACATCTGCCAAAATTCAGAGATCATGCAACTAGAGATGGGCATGCAGTTATCTGTCACTTAAAATGCTAATTGACTGAAGGGGGGGTGCACTGTATGTGGATTGGTGTTGCTTCATTGTAAACTTCATTACAGATATATGATGTTTTCAAGAAAGAGTGTGATCTACAAGTCCTCATCTTTTTTTCTCTTTGCCAATTGCCTCAGGACTGTTTGTCCATCAGCTCTTGGTAGCCAATTTCCTCAAAGTTACTCCTACTTTCAATTTTCATTTCCCCAATATATTCTTATTTCCCATGCTTATGCTTGTTTTGCATGCTCTGTACAATCTAGCTTTATCATGTATTTTCTGTTCATTAATTCTGAAAAGCTCTGCTACATTGCACTCTGCAAATCTCTTAAATTCTACTAAAAACAAATGTATGAAGTCTTGACAAGTTGTTGCATTCAATATTTAACAAAAAACATGCTTTAATACAGCATCAAAGTATCATTTATCAGGTCATGTAGCAGATCCTTCATTTTCATTTTAAAACGAACTCCAAAAGACATGTCTCACCATTACAAACAATAGGTTTTCCATGTATGACTCTCAATATACTGCATCTTTCTATCTTTGTAGTTTTCCTAGATATTTTTTGTGTAGATAAGTGAATGGAAAAGTTGCTCCCACAGACTCGATGGGTCCACAGGTCTGCTCCAACATTGAGACAGTTCAGCTAAGGCTTACGGTGACAGTAATTTAACCTTGTGCAGTTATACAAGCGTCGCCTCAAGCTCTCTTCAGATAATGGGCCATGGCCATGCAGAAAAGAGAGATACAGCGAGGGAGAAATCTAACAAAAGAGGGATGAGTGATGAAATGGAATCTTGTCTGCTGTCTGAAATGGACATCAAAGGATGTACTTAAACTCAGGAGGCAGCACTTTGTCATTCATCATGTATCCCCTCTGTCTCTCAATCCCTTTCCATCCATCTCTAATGATGAGATGTATGATGGTGACGTGCGTGAGGGAGAGAAAGGGGGAGGGAGGAAGGGGGAGATAATACCTTCTGAATACATGATGAACGTGGTCATCAGGCTTAAACTGACTGGGGGGCGAGTTGTGCACAGAGCCCAAGAGCGTGCATGTTCATAACACTGAGCACCAGCATCCTCTCTCCCCTGCAGCTGCTCTCGCTTTCTCTGTACTCCACCTGATCGGGGACAGAGGGAAACACGCAACAAAAAAGTTAAGTGGAATACAAAATATAGCCGTCCTTTCCAGTGTTATTTACAAAAAAGAAAAGACTGAACAGCCTGGAGGAGTGTGATGAGCAAGTGAAGCGCATCTTATCTTTGAGCGCTAGCGCACCCAGAGTGTTTTTTTTTTTCTCCATCAAGTAAAACGAGAGCTGTACTCAGGGTGCACAGCCTGTTGAGGAGGAGAAGGGATGCAGAACAACGTGACAGACTGTGAGGAGGGAGAAGGGGGACCCAACAGCCAGGGTGAGTGACGAAACGTGCCCCTGTCAGATGTGTGAAGAGCGTGTGTCAGTGCGTAAAAGGTTGTGGACCTGGGTGTGTCCGTTTGTGTATGTGCCATTGTCAGCACGGGAGCTAAAAGAGATCACATGTGTCACTTACAAAAAGTTAGGGGAAAGATTGCAAAAGATTAAGTACACTGAAGGATGCAGAGCAAGTGTCTGTCACTATTGCGCTTGCTTTTTTGTGTGTAAAAATAAAAAAAACTAAAATACAGATGCAACAAGCATTTTTGCGTTTAATTTCTGGCTGATGGGAGACAAATATTGATTTATCTCAAACCTGGAGAATGAAAGGCTGTACCACAGCACCTTCACTCAGCTCTCATGCATCTCACCTGCTGTAGTTGCTTTTATTAACCACCATTGTTCAATCTGTATAATCATTTCCCTCTAAATATTTGCAAGTGCCCAGCTTCTTTCTTTTTTAAAACAACTAGTTTTTGGTCATACCACAGGAGAATTTGACACTGCACTGGAAAGTGATCAGCCTATGATCTAAATATTTTCATTTGAACAATGAAGTAATTGCAGCCAGTATCCAGAACCAGCCTAGGTTTGTAAACATATATCCATCAATATAATTTTAAGTAAGATGTCACATTATCACTAAAATAGAATTTGTTTGATGATCAATTTTTAACAGACTTTTAAAACAGATTTTTCTTTTTTTGAAGTAGATTGTTTTAATGGATTTATTAGCTATTTTTTTCAAATGTTATCAATGAAGAGAAGTGTTGTGGTGTTGTGAGATAGATTACTCATATCCCATAAAGACAGATAACATGCTAAATCAGTGAAAACTTTCCAAATAAGCTCATGACAATAAGTTGCTTTCTACATCATAACGCTTACATCCTAAGGTAGCACAATTTCATACAGGTAAAATAAGACAACATCCCTTAATTGCTAAATGATTAAGTATAGTGACATTTCTCAATATTCGCATTATCTTTAAGAAGTAACTTGTTTCTATGAAAGATTCAAACCAACTTTATGAAAAACACAGGACCCGTGTTAGAAAAATGTTAACCGCAAAAAGATCCATCAGAGGCTTTTTCATGGGAGACTCTGTGTTGTTAAAACTTTTTTATATTTTCTAGGGTTTATGGCTCCAATTGCAATGTGTGCAATGACAATGTATTCAGTGTGCTGGTTCTGACCCCCTTACCACTGGACATGATGAAATCTATCTGACATTTGAATTGAAAAAATCACCTCATCTGAACGAGGACCCAGTTACTCTAAATTGTTCTTTGTTATTCTTGCAACACTACTTCGATTTTTTTCTTTTTTTTTTTTGTTGAACCGCAAACCAAAACTCCTGTGCTGGCTTTGTTCGCTGTTAAACCATTGATTTTTTTCTATTCTCTCTCCGTATAGTTATGTTTAAGCATGGAGAAGAAACATTTTTCTATGGTATTTCCATCAGGGATTAGTTAGTCAAATGGTTGTGTTAGCATTCCCCTCAAGGCCTTACCTTTGAGAGGATTATGGCATAAAAATGGATTACAAGGACAGATATTTTAAATTAAGTAGATGTTCAGTTTACTGTAACTGCACGCTATGTTCTACACTCCAATAGTTGTTCACAAAATTGCAAAGCATGTAGACATAGTCATATCTTCTCAGAGGAAACTACACAGGACACATGAGAAGTCTGTTAGTGCTGTGAAACTTTCGTCACAATTAGGATGATGAAGACGTAGTTATCAGAAGTCCATGAGCGGTATTTAGAAATCAGTATGTGTAAATCACACTATTCTCCCACGTATTGAAGGTATTTTGCCAGTTTTGCTAACTGTGGACCTTGTAGACATAAACCTTTTTTTTCTGAGAGCTTTTTTTGGGGCTGGTGGACAGGTGACACAACTCACTGAGATGTCACATGAACTCAGCATAAGAAATTCTTGATCACAGATTGATCACAATTTTTTTTAACCCAGATGTTAGAACCAAAATGCATCTGTCACAGAATCACTTTCATTTTTAGGGAAACTGAACAGTGGGCATCTATTGCTACATAACCATCTTATTTAATCTAATCTTCTTCATGTTACTCTATTTCTTGTTATGTCTATAAGCTTTACTTATTGTATTATCTTTCGTTTTATTTGCAACAGGGTTTAATACCACGGTTAATTATTCTGTTGGATTTTGGTGCCATCAGATCTGAAACTGATCCGCAGCGACAACAGGCTCATGAAAATGAAAATGAGTGATTCATTAAAAAAAGTAGCTCCATAAAAAAAGGTAGTAGATGTAATGCTAAATAAATAAACCAACACCCGCTGCTAAAAAAAAGAAAAGGTGAATTTAAAACAAGCTCTCATGCATGTGTGAATGAGCAACTGCAAAGTGTGGAGCTCTGGAGATTGTTCAGCATGTCATAACTATTCAGTTGATGTCAAGCTGTCGGCAAGTCTCCCTAAGCACTGTAAACAAGTGCTTTCAAACAGCCAGATATAACATTGAAATTATTTAGCTTTAAGACATTAATGCGCAGACAAAGTTAATGTTGGAAAAGTAAGTAAGCAAATGTTGATCTATCGCATTAAAGTTAGTCTGATGCATCTGCCCTTGCCATCACAGCCTACAGAAATGGATTTAATCTGCTTGCCAGATGTTCACTCATCCACTGGTGTTTGAATCGAAATCAATTAGTCTGATTGCCCATAAGTTAATACAGTACCCACTGCGGTAATTTCACTTGCAGAAAGGTCACCTGACACACTTGCACTAGATGCTCAACCAATACAGACTGTTGAAGCACAAAAGAATTTCATAGATGGAGTAGATATGTTGAATTTCATTGCCAATGGTTCCATAAATTGCACATTTTAAAAACAGAATTTTGAATTTAAAAAATAAAATTAAAAATAATTAAAAAATTTAGATATAATCACTGTACACAACATTTCCTTTTTCACAAATGAATTAGATTTAACTTCCTGCAGTTTTATTTCTATAGAATATAAAATATGGATGTGATTTATATATATATCAAATAACATAACCAACAGAACTGCATGGTGTCGTTATTTTTCATGAACTACAATAAGCAGACATTTCAAAGTGCAGCATTATGTAAAGCTGCTCACTTAAAATGATGTTTGGGATTTGAATATAGTTGCTTCCCTTTGATTTCAGTGACATAAGATCTGCTGACTTACAGCTTTTATAAACTGCCTCAGAAAATGCATTGAGAGCGTGTTTGCATTTAGGCTGTCACAGTGATGAACAAAGGCAAGAAAAAGCATCTAAGTGATTTTCGGTAATCTACTAATGTGCTGTCTTGCTCTTCAGGTATTGGATAGGGAAAAGGTCAGAATGGCATAGATGGATTAATGTTTTGAAAAATTTTGCACAGTTATATAGATTGGCCCACCAGCATCAGTCTGCTTAATGTGAGATGAGTTTTATTACAGATTTAAAACACCCACGTCACTCCTGCAGCTGTGTCTTTTTTATTGGATATAGATAAATATATCGAGTCATTAAAATGATTTACCTTGGCCTTTTTTAAAATGTATACACCCCATCTGGGTAATCATTTTATACACGATCACTTGTCATGAATAAAATGTCAAAATATACGGCATGTAGAAATAGAGCTACAGTGTTAAAGTGAGATTTTAAAAATATGATTGCTCTGTTTGGTTGGGTGTGAAACAAATATGCAAATCATTGATTAATGAAAAAAATTAAACGTCCAATTAGGCAAGTCGGTGGTTCAAAATGTTAATATATTTTGTATTCAAAAGATCAAGTGCAAATTGTGATAGAACTCCCCTTTAATCCTCCCACTGAGCTGCAAAATATCTCCCTACAAGTCATCTTAGATGAGAGAATATTTTAAAAAAGGGTTGTCTACTACTGCCTTCCTCATGACTTCCTCTCCCACAGCTCGCTCAGAGCAGCACAGTCACACCACTCTGTCTGAATATAATAATGAATATTTTCATGCTCCATCTTTAAAACCTAAAACCTAAAACTACAGTCAGAATTCAATTTCCTGAATGTCCCCTTAGCTTTTTCTAAAGCCACAGGTCTAGAGGAAAAATAATATTCTACCTGAGGGGGGCAATATGATTTACCCGATACTCAGTATGGAAAAACTTAACACGTGACACTATCTATGTTGTACAGAAATCATTTGGAGAGCCTGTTTGTTAAATAATTAGCCAAAGATTGACCATTTACAAGCAAGTGGTGCTTAAATGGGCAACCTTTAAATTTGAAGCAGATAGTGCTCCCTGAAGAAGTTAAAAAAAAACTCATCTGTTATATTGTTCATTGAATAAAGAGCACACATAATGTGCTTAAAGCAAAGTCTAGCAGCATAAATGGAAGGCTGTGTACCAGATATGAGCCAGTGGTTCTTCTCCACTCCAAATTGGGGCCTATTTTTGCTTACAAACACTTACAGACAGAGGAACAGGGTGGTCTCATTAGCTGCGAAGCTACATATGAAACGCCAATTTTTACCCATAACAAAGAGCTGTTCTTCTTGGAAAACACAACTGTTGGAGTAGCAGAAGTGTAAATTGATGTCAGTGGCAAAAATATTGTTTTGCTCAACATGACAAATATTCACATCTGGAAATATTCCAGCTGTTTTTTTTTTTTCTTTTACTCTTTCTTTTTTAAATCATACTTGAAAATTCTGTTGACAAGATGATGAACACAAACAGTATATCTTTATTCGTTGGTTGCCAGTGAATTTATGTCAAGTCTCACAGAGGGCAAGCCTTGAAGCAAATCTGATTTCTCAGGCAGCGATTTTGAAATAATCGTGCTGAGGCTCACCAAAGTTTTCCACAGCTTAGAATGTACTTCAAGCTGACAGCTGCTGAAAAGATGAATTTTATGCTCTAAATCATTATTGTGTTATTTTTGTGAACCGGGTGTCTTTGCCAATACTTTAATACTTTGGGACCAATGCTGGTCCCAAAATATTAAAGC